GCCATCCAAAAGGTATTTGTAAGCTCCACAGAACTTGATGTTACACATTCTTACACATTTCAAACAGTTAGAATTTTTTGGAATGCGAAATGGGTGGTCAAGTCGGCGAAAACTAGGGAAAAAAACCATTAAAAACGAAATAGGTGAGATGACTTGTTCCGCTCCTTCCTCAGAAAAGCTTATTATTTCGTTAAACCCCTGAGCTCATGGAGCCTGACCAACACTTAGTTTTAACTCCATTTTTGCCTTAGGGGGAATCGATCATTGATGTACCCTTCACTTGGCCTTTCTTAACATTCAGCTATTAGGCTTTCGAAAAAGCCTTATCGTGTTTGCTTCCGTATTTGGTTATTTAACCGCTAAGCCACAGCGATTCTTGATCTGAAATTTTTCCTATAATCTTATTGTTTTATACAAAGCGATAACCCGTTCGTAAGGGTTTTCACTGTTCTATGTGCTCATAAGTGTGTGCAGTCCGCGAGAATGATTCATTACTTCACCTAGAAAATGGTAAATTTGAGCAGGCAAGCTTCACAACTTGCTCTCGACACTCGACTAGTCGAAAACTTCCGGGTCTAGATTTAACGAGAGAGTGCTCAACCATAGTTCAAGCGGAAAAAACAAATCCGAAAAGGAACGCTTAACAACGGAATGTTTAAAGGAGACTGCGACTCGGTAGATTTATCATTGATCGATTTCTCTTACGATTAGGGAGAATGAATTAGAGCTACATACGGCTGTTGATGTGGCTGTTAATTTGGCTGTTGGTTTCGCCAACTGGACCTCTCGTTGCAGGTTGTATTCAAGGAGTATACACTCCGTTGCAAAACTATACGACATACCCCAAATTTTGAGTTTCTGAAGTTGCGAGAAGCTCTGCTCGAAAATGGCTAATGCCATTCGATTCAGCGTGTAAAGAAACCTACAAATGAGAATCTTCAAACAGATTTGTCAAATTCCAGAAATCTAGGATCAAAAATTTGAAAAAACGGCCGTTGCAAAATTATACGACATAGCAGAAATTTCGACAATTTTTTTGCTTCACTAAAATTTTTCCAAACTACTCCACAGTCGTAATAGCACTGTATTGTAGGTGAGCAGGCCACGGATTCGCCTTGAGGCGCCTTCACCCTGAGGAGCCTATCTGACATGTTATCTACCAATTTTTGTATGCCTAATCCCAGATACGTGCGTAATTTTTTTGTAGCTTCTTCTGCAGGAGATGCATGGAGCTGTGCCAATTCCACCAGGAACAAACAACACGGGTAAGAGTGTCCCATGGGTTTTCCATCGGATTTAGACTTCGCTAACAGGCGGACCATCCCATTGAATCTACATGGTAGGTTTCAAAGCAAGTTGAAGTCGGCTCAGTAACATGTATACTTTGTAGTGTGAGACCGATGATGACGATTCTGCGTAGTAGACGGTAGCCCGTGTTGTCAGAGCACATCATCGTGATCGGTAAATCTGTTGACTTTTCGTACAGATTGCACTTGGGCGAGATGCCAAACGACTTATTTGTTCTTAGGTTTTGCAGGTAGTTCTTCGGAGAAAGGAAGTATTTCTCCTAGTCGGCCAGATAGGTGGCATAGTGCAAAGATGATTTGAGCGGAAATTCCGTTTTTTCCCTCTCGAAGATGAGCTTGGTAACGCTGCACAACCTACAGTTGGTATGGCAAGCTAGATGTGGTCTTCATGGTTCAACGGAAGGGACCCCACCGACTAGCAATAAGTGGCTCAATCATCGCGTGCTACCGTCTACTACGCAGAATCGTCATCATCGGCATGTTTCTCACACTACAATGCGGTTATACATGTACATGAGACGACTTCAATTGCGTTGACCTACCTGTAGTTATGGCCATGGTCGCTCTTGCGAAGATCTATCCGATGGAAACCCATGGAACTCTTAACGTGTTAGTGTTGTACGCTGTGGAATTGGCACAGCTCCATGCATCTATTGCAGAAGAAGCTACTTGAAAATTACGCACGTATCTGGGATTAGGCATACAAAAATTGGTAGATAACATGTCAGATAGGCTCCTCAGGGTGAAGGCGCCTCAAGGCGAATCCGTGGCCTGCTCACCTACAATACAGTGCTATTACGACTGTGGAGTAGTTTGGAAAAATTTTAGTGAAGCAAAAAAATTGTCGAAATTTCTGCTATGTCGTATAATTTTGCAACGGCCGTTTTTTCAAATTTTTGATCCTAGATTTCTGGAATTTGACAAATCTGTTTGAAGATTCTCATTTGTAGGTTTCTTTACACGCTGAATCGAATGGCATTAGCCATTTTCGAGCAGAGCTTCTCGCAACTTCAGAAACTCAAAATTTGGGGTATGTCGTATAGTTTTGCAACGGAGTGTATGCAGTCGAAATTAAATATTAAATGTACATAGCAGGTAGATCTCTTTCAGTGGTATGTGAAGTGAGGTGAAAAAGTGGATTTCAGTAGAAAAAATTCCCAGTTGAAATAAAGCAAAACTTATGCGGACACCATATTACTTGCTTGATTATCGTACTGAGAAAGTAGTTACACCTTTTGTCTCTCCACCGTGTAGCTTTTCCGCCATGCTTTTCCATTTCTGCACCCATATTTGCTCTAGAAGTATCGTACGTCATTAGATTCACTTAAAGAATCTTTGCGGCGGTAAAATCATGATTTCTACTATCACCAGAATACTGTGAGCTCATTATCCACGATAATAAGTATGAAATAACCTGTCTATTGTATTGTTTTGATTAAAATTTGAAATCGGAAGCTTGAGCTACGCGTTTCGATTGCCACGGAGTCTTTCACGATGTGGGACGGAGATGACTCCTTGGTTCTTGGAGTGCATTCACTAGAAGCTCTTTCTGGCCTTCTGCTTCGTTGCATTCACATCTTACACTTCTACTCCATCCTATTCCATCGATCGATTTGTCTCCACTCTCCGAAATCGCGCGCTTTAACCCGATTCTCTCATTGCGTCGCCTGGTACGTAGCCGGCCAAACGCCGTCTTCTTTCCATGCCTCGCCTGGCTCTGCCTCCTGGTCCTTCGATGGTCCATAACGTGTAGTTTTTGTACGTTTGTTTCTCTTCAGAAACCGAATCTTCATGCGTGAAACTTTGTGTGCTATTTCCAGTGATCACAACTGACATATTCATGTTAGGAAAGAGTGCAAGAATTTTCCGCGCAAGATTCCTTTAAAAGATGAAAATTAAGTGTCATAATGGAAGAGTATCATGGGCAGCAGCACACAAGGGCACGAAGAACAAGATGTGACTTTTTCGTGTGACTAAAGAGGTAGGCTAGCTGCAGCGACTGGCTGCCGCCATCATATCGTTGTGTAGCTGCCCACCGCCTGTGCTCCACCCCATCAGCGTTGTTCGATTATCATTTTGATAAGGTATTCCACTTCGAAGTGCGTATCCTATAACTTTCCCATGGAATGCGTTTCAATCAAATCATGGCCTTTGCTAGTATGATGGTGGCTATCGGTTTAACATGTGCAAACGACCTCTAGTTGGTTGCTAGCTCGTCCATTATCGGAGGTCAACGGGCAAGAAAGGGGTCCCATTTTGCGCGTTCTTGACGGATTTCTTTGCTTTTTTCGCCACTGGGGCATTATTCAGCATCTCCACTTCCACTATGAACCCAGTCCAATCCTTATCGTAATCCCTCGCTTTAATGTGTGGGAGTGCGATTGTGCAGTTCGCTGTCCTTTCGTAACCAGGATAGATCTATGCCGTTCTGGCACTTGAAAATCTTTCAGTAGTTTACTGCCTCTCGTCTCAACGATTAGCTCCGATCACCCATGTGAAGGTTCAACTTGCACTTCTATGAAAATAATTTATTAATTGCAATGATCTGCTTTAGGGTTTCTTCTGTATGATTTCAAGGAGTTCATCGCTGTCGTTGAACTCGAAAAGTGAGAGCGATGTAGCCGATTGAGTAGTGTGCTAGTGTGTACAAAATCATAACCAGCCAATTGAAGTATAAGTTGACAGGACGGAAACTTAGATTCTGAAAAATGTCTGAGCAGAATATTTCGATAATTCGAATGTTCCTTGTCCCTTTCCTAGGGTTACCTCAATCACTTCCGCTCCAGAATGTTCGCAGGATTCAGCCACCTTTCCGCTAGTCATTGTACAGCTTATGTTGTCGTATTTCTCGTACGTCCACTCGTTGATAATGAATGCTTCGTAACCGAAGCGGAACCTCCAAGAAAACGAATGAAATTTATTGGCGACAGTAAATATGGCTTTTCAGAAACTAATAGATATTTTATAACAAATGCAAATATAGCGCACTAACCACGACAAGTATTGCACCCATCTTATCCAGTCCGGAAGCATGGCGACATTCGTGAAAAGACCGCCTGTCATTGAGTAAATTGTAAGAAGTGGTCCTGTGATTGTGACGGCGACTGCGTACGACGGGGACATCTGGAAATTGGAAACTGAAGCTCTTCCACTTTTCTTTGGATTGCAAGGCATCAAAGTACCGAGCAGACGGCGACTCCCAAGCTGGCCACCATGGCCTCCACAAGTACACCAGTTATAACGGTGCGAATAAATCGTCCAGCAGTCGGAGCGAGACCGATCAACCAGTAGGCAATGCTAGTGAGAATCATCCCGTCCATGGAAAAGATCGGCATATAGGAGAGTACCTTAACATTTAAGCTCCCTCTAAAACCAGCTATGTATCAAAAAAACAACATCTGAGGCAACCATTGATTAAAGGCATGCCCCAGGATCACATTGGTGTGGCTCTTGCACACGAATGCGAATGTATTGGTGCGAAAGTGGGCCGGCAGTGAAAAAAGGAAAAGAATCCGTCGAAAACGCTTAGGTTAAGGGCTCACTCACCTTCCTAATCGGCTGTGCTAAGGGAATGAGAGACTAAGCGCGGAGAGGAGAGTATGAGGCGAGAGAGCGCTACAGATGAGAGAGCGCCAGACAACAGCCTGATAAGAGAAAAAAATCTGCAGCTTCAGCAGCTTACTTTGCAAGGCCCAAGCGCTCTTGTCGGTTGGTTTCCGTGCACGGGAACGCCACATTTGTGATTGTCCTCTAGGGTCTATACTACAGACCGAAGGGAAGCGTTCACACGACCTCTGCCTGGGTTGTGCCTTTAATGTGGGAGTGTGGTGTAACGTGCCTGAGATATTTTCGTTTTTGGAAATATCCCCATGTTTTTGTTGGGGTAGGCCCCCTTCAAATGATTATTTGAGAACCTTCAAGTGAAGGAGAAGCACGCTGGGTCCAACTGTTGGAGACCGGCGAGCGAAAGACAAACGCTTTGGATAAGCGAGTAGCACTGCATTTATGGAGACTGTTCCATGAGGTCTTACAGTCCAAAGTGAGGCTTCAAGGCGGTAAATAACCGGGAAGGGTAAAGGCTGACTTTTGGCTGTTTATAAGCAATCGTCAGCCCTTAGCCCCACGCGTTATTTGACGCATTGCCATTTAGCGGCAGAAGAAAGTATGCTAGTTATATTTGTAAAGGATATGGCTTGGAGCATTGGTGGTAAACGTAAATCGCTTAGCAACTGTAGTATGGTCTACATTACTTTAGATAGTTCGCACACTTGTGATATTCTGACAACAGAAGAAATTCTCTACAGCATAATAGTTTGGTAAATGCCATAGATTGTCGGGTAGGTGAGCTCAGAAAGAAGAAATAAAATTCTTCAAAGTAGATGACGCATCCTTAAACATCTTCCATATCTATGCATTTACTAATATCAATTAAAGTGAGGTCACCATGATCGGCCGGTGTTTGAAAGTACAGGAATCCTAAAAACAACGCCATGCACGCTTTCTGTACGAACTTTGCTCGCATAACCGATTTATTTCGGACATTATCCTTAGCATATCTGAAAACGAAAAACGCGAAGATACCTGCTTAAAAAGAGGAACTGATAAATAATGAGACTTTGGTCTGTTATACCGTGTCCTAAAATCTGTACCAGTAGGTTATAAGGTCCATGTGGCATAGCCGCGCTTATATCGTTGTATAATTTTTATAGAAAAGTTGAAAATGAGCGTGAATGTTGAAACTTTTCAGATATGTACTGCCCATAGCGCAAGCTGATCGGAAAAAAGTATTCTGGGAAAAATAGCAGTTTCTTCCACGACTGACGGTAGAGGACCCCGGCCCGCTCCGACGTAGTATTCGCGTTCTAGACTCTGTGAAACGATTTGAAAGTAGTGAAGAAGTTGTGCTAATATATAGGTTTTTTTGGAACATTCATTTCATTAATTGTATACCTCCTGGAGGGCAAGAGCTATTCTTTACAAGCCATTGGGCTAGACTCCTAAGGTATGATACATACTACGCTAGCTACATACTACTTGTCGAATAAGTCTTTGGCCATTTGTCCATTTTTTCTAATTCACTTTTCTTCTTTAGCACAGTGAGCAATCTATAAATATATGCCCCACCATAATCGTCAACATATTGCCTTTTAGCAGGTAACTCGTGGATGCTGTTTGTCTGGAAATACTGAGTTTTGAGCAAAAACCTTGAAGAAGTCCTCTTCGAATAGGTCGGATCATTCAGCTGTCCCTCTTTTGTTGGATTGACAGCAACGGAAGCAGATGGAAGTCTGTTAGTGCCGGGTCTGCTGAACGCAACAGGTGGGACAGAACGTCCCATAACGGGCTTGGAGACTTTTGCTGAACCTTCTTCCAAATTCGTTGACGAGCGTTGCCTGGATAAAGTAAACTTTTCCATGTTTTGAAGCATAGTGCCGGCAGACCCATCCATTTGCCGATATTATAATTCAACGATGGCACTCGTCATTCAGTGGAACAGGCCAACTGAATTTGTGCACTTTTCTTGAAGTTCTGGACTTCGGCAACCAAATGTTCCACCATGTCGTGAAAGACACTCTGGGTTCCATCGCAAGACGTGAGCTCTTGCCGCATCGCTTCCATTGACGCGTTTTCTGGGTTTCAGAAACAGGAGCAGCCAAACATGCTTTCAGTCAAAGACGATTTTCTCAGCCATAATCGCTGTGAGAAATGCTATGAAGAGATCATTGACTAGGGTTTACATAGTTTTACAATAAATGTTCAAAAATTATCCCTGAAGATTTTACAACATGCAGATCGAAATGGCCAAAGACTTTCCTGATAACTTAATATATAACGATTGAGAGGAAAAAACTAATCATTAACATGTTAAAAGTGTTAAAATAGACCAAAATTTTCATTTTGCGTTAGAAAAGAGTTCAAGGGTTTTGGAAAGATAGCTTCCGAACGCGGAATGTTTATGGCCAAAATAGTAGCAGGCCCAGCGGGATTTCGATTATTTCAGCTTCTAAGGCTAAAGTTTTGAGGCAACTACCTGTCGATATACCCAGAGAAGCAAGCATGTTCGCATCGTCTGATTAGCTGAAAACCATGCTGCCAACCATTCTCAGAGGACTTTTCCCAAGGGATTGGCTTTACCTACTCTTCCACTACTTATTAGCGGAGGTTCACATTCTGTGTTGCACCATGTTTTTGTTAGGTCGATGTACTGGAGATGTCATCATCACCCCATACCCTTGCAACATTTGCAAATAGGGTCACCTAGTGTGCTAAATATCATATTTTGATAGTGAACTATAAGCACCTCACGAAAAGTGCACTGATGAGTCGAGACAAGCCGGCTCCGTGATGAGGGCGCAGGGATCGCGGTTTCTCAGCAGCCTTCATCAGCCCTTGCAAATCTTTTGCATAGCGTGAGTTAGCGTACTGCAAGAAAAGAAACTGTGATGTCATTTCTTGGAAAAGAGAAGTAGAGCACCTCATCGCAAATCCTATTCGCTCTTTCTTTGCACTCTTCCTCTTTGTCGGGCCAGATAGCCAGAACCTGCAATTTCCCTATGACAACGGAGATCGACAATCTCTCCGATCCAATAACATTTGCGAGACGGAACATTTCATTAGTTCTTTGAAAATTCGATACTAGTTTTATTACTGAACTGTGAATGCCCAAAGCTGACTACCCAGTATAGTGGCAGTTCCGACAAATCAGTACAAAATCCATTACTTCTGACCAATCATATTAGACTATATGGCACACGCACGTAAAAAGGCGTCCACGAAGTGTTTGAGAGACGAATGTCAGAGGGCCTAATGAAGTTATTATCAATCTTAGTTGGAAGCTAGCAACTAAATTCTCATATTCTAAATGTCAGAGGATTTTCCACACAATGTCCGATATTCAGGAATCAGGCATTTCTTTTTCTCGTGATGATGATTTGACCGCAGGAGACAGAAAGCGGATGAGTTTTACCATCCCATCCGCGATTTCTGTAGTTTCGTAAGATGAAGTTGTCACTGCGCGCGGCAAAGGAACTGGATGCAGTTGAAGATGCTTCTTATTCGTGAGCGCATGCTTGCGCGTGGAGGACCGATCTTTGGGGTTTTCTGCGTTATTCTCCCATAATACTTGCCTCACCGTCCAAACAGCTTGCGATATCTTGATCTGCTACTTCGAAGCGCGATGTCCCTGACCCAGCGTCCTCCGAGTCTCGGCCTTGGGCAAGCCGCTAGTCGCAGAACTAACGCACCGCCACAATCAGCGGCGCTGTCACCTCTATAAACCTTCAGCTGCTGTTTGATATGACTCGAAAATTGGAATATCCTTGTTGTAGCTTTCGTACGTGATATCCTATGAGAAAGCGTTGCGTTAGCCCAGATCGTCCCTGGTAGTGCTGTTCAGTCGTCGGAGTCGAGGAGTAGAATTAGGTAAAGCAATCAAAATTCTTCACCTGTAAAGAGTTTTAAAATATTCGAGAAGAAGCCTCTCGATAGTTATGGCAACGAAAATAGCGAGTGTGGTTGGAATGACTGAAGTGTGGCATGCGTAGTGCCACAGATGTCACATCTCAAGATCGTCTTGCTCGAAACGAGCAAATGTCAACTGATAGCATACGAATGCGCGAGGTTTGAGATAAGCAGTGGAAGATTCCTAGTTAAGCATTGATATGATGATTTGCGAATAACGCACTTCTGTGAAGGTGGTTCCCGTGCTGGATTTGTGTGTCGGAAGCATATGAAACCACATACTTGCGAAAACGTAAATCGCCTGCCATCCTGACACCGATGGCAGGCTACTCCGCTTGGCGAAACACCTACTGAAAGAAGGAAATTCTTTTATTTCGGGACAGATTGCCATATTAGGCAGCTACACCTTGTGAAGCAAATCTAAGACACTGTCAGATGAAGCTGCTGATTGTGCAAATGATAGTTTTCCCACGATCACCCGCTAGCGACTCCAGTCTCTGTGAAATCAAATTCAGCAAATCTGATGACGAAGATGATCCATGAAGAGTAGAAGGGTATTATAAAGGCGAGCTTATGGTGACTAACCTACAGCATAATCGATGCACCACTCCACACCGGCGGCCTTCCCTTAGTGGTAATAGTTCCATCGACATATCTTTCTAGGTCCTATCATTGGTTAAAAAGTCGGATTCAAAATGAGTTGCTTGAGAGTTTGGGTTTCTAGCAGTGCGGACCACGTTAGAATATTCCCCGACGGTTGTATTGTAAGTATTTGCCCAGTAAGAAGAGTCGGATTCAAAATGAGTGCTGTTTTTGTATTTATTTTTGGGCCTCATAGATGGAGGAAGCGGGGTAGAGATTGCTAAATAAAATTGTGTGTCCTGACAATGAGATCTGAAACTTGCTGCTTCAAGTTCACATATTCCCAGTTAATTTCACAAGAAGGGAATTGGGACTATCACCGGTTAAAGGAAGCGATTACGATAAAGAGGGAGCGCATCGGGGAAGCATATGCACCACACGAATCAGTTACTTGGCTGCCAGGGAAGCGAGGTGTGGCGCTTTCACGACGAAAGGCGCTGGTTGCTGAGCAGGACTTCGAAAGCACTCCGCCCCCAAAAGCGATCCGCCCACTAGTTTAGTTGGTGATTTGGACGAGCTGCGTTGCCAGCAGCGGCACAACTGGAGCAACTCGATTGAGCGTGGTTTGGCATGTGCCACCAAACGCGTTGCGATGAACTCGTTCATACGTCCGCTTTCTGAGCTTACCTGTTCATGAGTGAAAACCAACGGCCAAAAAAGGGGTCCCGTTTTGCGTTTTCTTGACGGATTTCTCCGCTTTTTTCGCCACTGGCGTACCATTGAGCACCACCACGTCTCCTCTAAACCTTCTTGAAACTATCGTAATCGCTGCCTTTAGGCTAGATTCAGGAACAATATTGGCACCGCCGATCACCATCATTGGAACTTGGAGAAGGTTATTGTAGGGAACGGGTGCACTGTTTCGGCCATTCCCTGTGCGCAAAGTTTTCAACTCTAATGGGCAGCGTTTCCGTTCTCTATCGATCTTTGTGGCACTCTTCTCCTTCCTCTTTTTTGTTTTAAACAGATGGATGCGCTGGGATAAAGTAGTTATGAAGACAAACGAAAAGGATGTCAGGCTGCCAGAGCCATATTTCCTCTGAGTCGGCTTGCAGAGCAATAGTAAACTGGCGTAATCATCTCTTTGAATCAATGCAGATAGTTTTCTATTGTTGGACATTCTCTTTCCTAAAGCCCTTCGAGCCACTCAACTCTGTAATGGGACGTATGATTCGTGTAAAGATGGGTTCTGGTGGACTTCCAGATCGCATGGGATCTTGGAACATCGACTAAATGGAGCGGTGCAACAGTACAACGAAACATTTGATATGTATTCGTATGACCAGCTTTCGAGAAGACGGACCATAGTCCTCACAAATCTTTTTCACTTGTTCATGAGAGTAACTATCTAATCCGATGTAGTACTGAACTCGACAAGCTCCCTTAAAGGCAATGATCACGATGGCTGGGGGATAGAGCGGTGCTGACTTCCATTGATGAGAGGGCATTGAGGGCTTGTTACAACCACATTCTCACGAGGAGAAAAGGAGAAGATCTAGAAAACGCTAAAATTGAGGCCTTTTCTCACTGTAAGGTCACAACCTAAATATTCTTTCATAGTCTTTCATAACCGTAATTCAACGGTCCATCGTCGAACTGGAGGAATTTGAGGGCCCACTTTCTACGAGACGGTGCCGGAAACTCACATGCT